TCCGAGTCCTCCTCAAATTAATATCATGTTGTTGTTGTTTCATCTTTAATATAAATTATTTTATGGCTGACTTTTAATTAAAGTAGAAAAGTCTTGACTTTATGTTCTCCGCAAAAAGCGACAAAGAAACGTCCCCCGAAGCTGTTAAGATGACCGCAGGTGCAGCGTTGGTTTGCTAGACCAAAACTTTAATTGTTTCTTTGTCGCTGCTGAAACTCCCTTAAGATAACAACTTTGAGGATAGCTTAACTTATACTTTTCTACACAAACAAAACAGTCATATTGACAAAACTTGTTGGTAAACGTACCTGGCTGAAATGATTGATATCATCAACTCTGCCCTCAACGTTCCGTTGATGCTAACATCTGTCATTGCCAACACGGTGGTATTGGTCGCCATATTGTCAACTCCCTCGCTTCGTTCATCATCCACCATCGTTTTTCTTTGCAGTCTTGCTCTGTCAGATCTTCTTGTCGGGTTTATTGTCCAACCACTGTCCATTGCAAAAGAACTCGTTAACCATGTTGACATTTCTTTACTGAAAAGAGCAACAAATATCTTTGCTACTTTTCTGGGAGGTGTATCACTGTTCACTTCAACAGCAATAAGCGTCGATCGGTATTTGGCTCTTCGTCATCATATGCGATATCCAATTCTGGTAACCACTAAGAGAGCAATTTACACCTCCACAAGTCTCTGGATTTTCTGCATCCTGTTATCATTCATCGGTTTTAGGAACAAAACAACTTATTTTTGGGGTATAGCTGCCTCTATCCTTATTTGCGTCCTCATTTCTTCCTTTTCGTACGGAAGAATTTTTTCGTTTGTTCTTAAGCATCGGCTCCAGATTAAGTCTCAACAACAGAATGCGGAACGTTTTAACGCTGAACATCATGTTCAAATGAAGAGATTGGTGAAAAGTGTTATAAACACATTTTTGTTTTTCATTTGTATGATTGCGTGTTACACCCCTGTGTTAATATCCTCTGTCCTTGATGCTGTTTCGTCGGAGCCAATTTCAAGATCCTGGATTTTGGCTGATACTTTAGCGTATATGAACTCGTCCATTAATCCGTTCTTATACTGCTGGCGCTTACGCGACCTTCGAAGAGCCTTTATAAAGACACTGCGAAAACTCAGTTCTTGCCATTAAATTGCAAAAGTGGGTACTGCCACGTACCAAAATGAAAGAAATAAAAACAACTTCTTGAAACGTTAAAAGAAGTTATTAATGACACTGTAGATACTAAAGGAGGCACCTTAAAGGCAAATGTACATGTTCGCCCGCATTATTATTATTATTATTATTAATTAATTAATTATTATCATTATTACTATTATGAGGGATTCTTTCCGGCAAGTGCCAACGGGGCGATTTGTTTACCTAAAGTTGTGGAATGTGCCTAATGTTCTTTGCGATTTGTTACATAATTTTAGAGTTTTAAAATAGATTTCGCTATAGACAGGGATGGCTAATAAATTTCATTCAAGTTTGAAACAACAACTTAGGCACATTCTAGGATTTCACTTTTATTAAACATAAATAACAACACGATCGACTTGAAGCTTTGTTGGTAAATTGGAGCAAGTTAGTCCCTAAAACAAAACGGTGGGAAATTCGTTGCATTCTTCACGAGAGTTGAGGGCTGGCTAAATGTAAATCGAGCAGCGAAACACGCTGATTCTGACATAAATCTCTCGAGAGGCGTAAAGGTGGTCTCTAAAACAAAAGGTCCGCTTATCAGTGGTGTGGCTATAGTGTTTTAAAGCAACAGATTCCAAAAATTTATGGGGAACGGCGAAATCTCCACGCTGCCCCCTCCCCGGGCTCTGTCTGGTAATGTTACTGGTGATGGTGACCTACCTCTGGGAATATGCCCAGGTTACGAAATATGACATTTAATAGTCCACAGCTTGCGACCTTGTTTCCGGTCAGCTGCTCAAACATTTTCTGTATAAAACGTGCTGTGAATCAGGAACTTTAGAACGGTGCACCTTCCGAATTCTGAAATGAAATAGGGGAGAATCGAAAATCAATGACCGTCACTCCATCTTTTACACCTCATTACTGTGACCTACGGTTCTGAGGAGTCCTGTTTGGCCTAAAAATTCGTAATCAAGTTTCAAGTGCTATTTCACCTAGCTGGACAATTTTGCTGAGCTATAGCTGCTAACACGGATACTTACCACAAACACGTAGTTACTGGATAGCTGCGGGTTAAGCAGGCTTCTGAATTGTAATACAAACTGTTTGAACAGCCCGCGGAGTTCGTTGTCTACCTGCAGGGAGGAACAGAGAAAAATTACTTGATGTTCTGTAATTTAAATTACTTTTAATGGCAATAATGTTATTTCACGTACCCCGTCGATCTGCTAAGTAGGCTGTTGTTATCATCGTTATTGATTCAGGACTAAGATTATTTTCTCATTTGGCCTGGCTGGGTACAGGGCAATTCCAATGATCTATTGCTACCAATGGTACGATTGGTACCAATAGAAAAGGATCTCATTCCAATGGTATGCATTGCATTAACGGAACTTAGTTTATTTTCCATGTAGCCTGGCTGGGTAAGTAAAAGCGAACTTACTTTCAAAGATGGCTTATAGAACGAAGAATTCTTTTGACATGTTTGTATTTCGACCTCACTGTATTGTAACTGTTAGCAATTACTATTAGCGCTAGTTCGACCTCGCTTTGTAACTATCAGTGCGTTTTTACTTGGTATAAAAGCGAACTTGTTTTGCATAGATGGCTTATAGAACGAAGAACACACATGGAATGCTTTGTATATTATAACTGTTAGCAATTACTATTAGCGCTAGTTCGACCTCGCTATGTGACTAATAGCGTGGTTCTACTTCGTGTGACCGCGAAATTGTTTTGCGTGGTTGCCCTGCTGGTACCCAGCCAGGTCACATGGGAAAATAATCTAAGTCCCCTTAATGAGATGCACATTCACCACACTACCAATCGTACCATTGGTACCAATGGACCATCGGTTTGACGAATCGTATCTGTTTGTGTATATTGGACGTGTATGAGAATTGAAGCCTGGCTCAGAGTAAATCTAGCTCCAAAGAACACGCCGGTTCTGGCAAAAATTTGAGCGTACAACCCTATTAATTACTTGGTCAGCAACTGCTTTAGGCCCCGACCGCACGAATCCGGATACTTGTTTATACGAATCGGCCTAGCTTCCGTCCACGCGAAACCCTGCAGGGAATCCGCACACCGGAACCGCATATTTTAAAAGCCGCCCTCCAGAGTGGCCATTGTGCTCGATATACCTACAACAACATTCAAAACGCGGTTTAAATATCTGACTTGGTTGACGCAAGCCTAATATCTAGTAATGGCTGCCGGGTGAATCCATACCGGATACGCGACACCGAATTCGTGTTGACGCAAATATCAAGTATGCGGTTTCAGCGTATCGGGATTCTTGTGGACGTGGCCACAACGTAAAACAGAGCACCAATAGCCCTTTTAAACAAGAAAATGTAAGCTTGCTCACCTGTTAGGTCCTCAGCAGCGACTCCACAAACGCAAACCATGGCCCACAACGAACAGTTACACACTGGATCACCAGGCCTCGAAACACGAGGAGTAAATGCAAGGCAGTGACGTCACTGCCCAAATATGGGGTTATCACAGTTAAACCCATGGCTAAATATGGGAAAATAAGAGAGGCTAACATGGAATTTGTGAAATTTTCCATTACATTGCGTGGCATTATGAATCTGTCGCAGAGTCAGTCTCTCTTCTTAGCTCGGCTGCCTCGTTGAAACAAAATATGAAGGTTAATAAACGACAACTAGAACGGCAAACAGGAGAAAGGTTCATATTAGCAAAACAACTTTGCACGTGCAGCACGCTGTTTTTGTACATTTCCTAGCCGGCGTTGCACGACTTCAACGTGAAACTTCCCAATTTCACGTTTTATGGAGGATGTCAAGGGCGATCCCGCACCTATTTGAAAGATTGTTTTTGATTAGCATGGGAAAACAATAGGGATTCTCACATAACAATGCCCCTATCACTTAAAACAATGGAAGTGCAGATTAAAGGGGACCAGTGAAATAAGAAGTTTAGAACGGTCAAGGGCGCAACGTAAGATTTCAAAGTCACGGTACGCATTAGAAAAAAAGTTAGAGCGCCGATGGCGCTGCAAATTTTGAAGGCATGCTCCCTTGCCATTTCCTGCGTTCTTCGCAGGACATTTCCAGTAAAAAAAATACGAAGGAAAATGCAGTAGTCAGTTGTTTATTTTACCCATCTCAAGTGGTATCGGTACTGATACAGTATTTACGGGGGAGGAGGAAGGTAAAACAGAGACGCCATCAAGAAGTCAAGACTTCTGTTACAACCGCCATGAAGAATTGCAAGAAATGCAATCTCTCGCCTTTCACCCCGCTATAATGTTCTTGCCGTCCGTTTTTGGACTAATAAAAGGGTTAAGGAAATACTAACACAGAGACACCAATATAATGTGAGAAATTTATCAGTCATCCCGTTTTAACGATCGAATGCTTTCCAGAAATAATATTAAACATTTTTCTCCTGATTTAAGCTGTACGCACGGGCGTATGTGCGTACATGGACGCTACGCCCCTGCATAATGTGAATATTATAAGACAACGATTTTCTTTTTCTTTTTGTAAACGTAGATGAAGTCCTTTAGAATTCAACTCCAGATTCGCCAACATTTGAACAAGAGCGATGAAGTCTGAAACAACGCGAATTCCCTTTTATGTAACGTTTTCTCCGCCGTCCTCGCCATACTTGCTTAAGATCCCTATAGCATTGCAAAAATTTATTGTAATCTTTAGAAAACAGATACTTATGGTAGTTACAAACATTAAACAAATAAACGGTGGTACAAATTAAACTCACCAATAAAAACATTAAAATGCACGCTGTTATATGCATTGCTACACATTTACATGAGAAAAGAAAAACTGTGCGGAGATGACAGAGAAGGTCCTAGCCTGCAAGCAAACCCTCTGGGTGCTCTTCCTTTTTCCTGCGCGCCGCCAGAGCGCAACGGAGAGCTTGCATGTAGGCTAAGAAGGTCCTATTATGGCAAATGAGGCTTGATTGAGAAGGCAGTGAGAGAAGGTTTGTACGGTTTGTACGGGGAGAGGAGAACGGAACAAGGTGCTTCAAAATAAAGTCTTTGAAAGCTCCCACTTTTTGGTGGAGCTATTTCCATGTTACCGTGTAGCATGAAAATTTTGCGGGTTCTAATTTTTGCGAATTTTGCGGATTGACCTCGATCCGTAAAAATTAGTTCCCGGAGAAAAAAAACCCGCAAAATAGAACGCCGCAAAAACTAACTCCCTTCAGTCAAATTAAAAACTCTGCTTTTAATGGACTTGTTGTGTATGGTAGGGATAGGCTTTTGTTTTGTTTTGCTGTTGTTCAGTCCCTTTGTGCAGTAAGATATTACAGTGATTACCGTATTATTCTCCATTAAATAAGTAGAGTGAACTTTGACTCAACATACCGTAAAATAAAAGTTGAAAATACCATATTAAGGTTTCTTCTACTTAAATATTCTGCTACTTGAACAGAGAATCGCAAAAATTAGTTCCCACCAGAACTTTCAGTCATCTCGAACCGCAAAAATTTGTTCCCGCAAACCACAAAAAAAATCGCCAATCCACAAAATAAAACTCCCGCAAAATTTTCATGCTACACGGTATTCCTCCACTAGTAAATTGATTTGAGACACTGTGGAAAATCTTTTATCTTGGGAGAGGCTTTCTTATTTTTACACATTCCCCAGCGCCGAAACACTTTTTACTGGGTCCCCAGCTGCGTACCAGGATTTGAGTACGTGCTATGATTGGTCTGTTAAGAAAAGCCATTGTTCGATTGGTCCATCAGGGTGAAGGGAAATCCGAAAATTACTTCCGGTAATTCCTTGGGTTCGGTAAGTCCCTTGGGGCCCCGGAACAGCGGTTCTCGGCGTTGCTTCGCAGATCGTCGTTACTGGCAGGGGACCAAGGTCGAGATTACGTCTGGAATACAGGCGATCCCATTCCTTTCTCCATGAGCTTGCGGGGTGCTTTCAAAGGATCAAGTTTGAGGTTATACTTTGTTTTTAACACGGAAAACCACAAAAAGAATCAAAGCAATGCGATGGCACA